ATGATCTTAAAAGGTCCTTTCCAACCTAAAGGATTCTATGATTCTATGTTTCTATCCAAATGTGTGAATTGTTGCACCCAAACCCAGCAGGATTGTGCTGATTCGGGCACTCGGGGGCTGCCCTCCGTGTTTTGCGGATGATGGAAGTGAGCACGGATTTAATATGTCCTTGACAGCATCATTCTAGACCACAGCTCTTCCCAGCCCCGTGCACTGTTGCTCCAGCTTTGCCATAGCCTGACCTAACTGGTTTGGTTTTTAGAAGAATAGGCATGATAGAGGTTTGAGGTTTTTAAGAATGTATTATTATTTTTTTTCTGTTGATTGTCACGATTTTGAAGTTGAGAGGCAGGGAAAACGATGCCAGGGTGCTTTTTGGTTTATTTTGTTTGCTGGGGATTTGGTTGGTTGGTTGGTTTGGTTTTTGTTTTTTTGCTTGTGGCCAAGAATCCTCCCCGTTGCTGTCTGTAGTGCTTGGCTCCGAGGGCATGGAATGGAAAGAAATTGCTTTTGGTAAGCAAAAATAGAAGAGCGTTCCAGGAGGCTTGCAGCGGAGTGACATGACCTTGCGATGTAAGGAGCATGTGCAAATCAGCGCTTAACTATGCAGAATACTTAGTTCTAAGTCAAGACGTGCCTGCAGCATTAGAAAGCGCCCTCAAACCTGGTTACACTCTGTTCTGATTGCGAAGTAGCTTTATTTGGATAACTCTCCTGGAGCTAAAAAGGATTTAGGTCGCGGGAGAGATGAGGTGCTGCTAGGGAAGGGCTGAGACAGGAGGCAAGGAAAGTAGGGGGTTGGAGAGTGTTATTTTTAAAGAAAGGCTTTAAAGCTGTTTTTTAAAGCCTTAAAGGCTTTTTTAAGCTGTCATCGGTCTGTGCTGTTACGAGCTTTTTAGCGAGACTATCTCCTTCGTTTCTTAGCAGTTCTTTCTCAGAAGGTGGAACTGGGAGGTGCTGTGTCCACTGATGCGGAGTTTCACGGCCCCGGGGCTCCTGGCAGCAGAAACGTCTCTGGAAACGGTGGGGTGTCCCTGGCTGCCTGCAGCAGGAGGGTGAAGTCGGGGGAGCCCAGGAGGGAGGAAGGGGGTAGGGCAGGAGAGAGGGGGGAAGAAAAAAAGAGCGGAAAGTAGATCACGGTGCTGCGGAGAAAGACAAAAAAGGAGGATAAAACTAGCGTGAGCTCCCGAGGAGTGGGTGGGGGTTGGCGCTTTGCTCGTCGATGCTCTTCAGCATCAAAGTTGCATGGAAATAGAAAGCATCTGCTTTGGCACCGGGCTCTGCTGCCTGCAGGTAGAGCCTTGGCCTGCGGCACGCGGGTTACTGCAGTCCGCAGCCGCAGCGATAGGCATCTGTGTTCTGACAAAGCAATTGTGCATCTAAATTATTTATGGCATATGTGGTATTCTTTCTTTCACTGTGAGGCATTTAAAGCAGACGGTTTTCTCTCTGTGTAATCCCGCAGAGGAAAGCCTGTAAAATGGAGGGTAAAAGACGATGGTAGTAAATATGTCATTTGGAAATCAGCATGAGGGGAAAAACAGGAAAATTGTTTGTCGTGAGTGCACTTTATCTGAGAATACAAGTTCCAGTGTTTTTTTTTTCACTACTGCTTAAAACCTTAGATTCAGTATTAGAAACGGCTTGGTCTGAAACCTCTCTGATTTCTCACCGAGGCCATGCTTTAGGAAGTGCTTCAGGGGTACGAAATCTGTCCCTGTTCACAACGTGCTTACGCAGATGCTTTCATTCCCATTCGTAGCTGTGGGTTTGAGCTTCTGCCTGGGCGCAGGCTGCTGCTCGCGGGCTGGGGACTTTCCTCCGTCTCACCGAGGCAGAAGGAGCTTTTCTACAGACTTGCGTAGTAATGGCAGCGTCGCTGATGGCGTGAGCAGATGTGGAATTGCCCTCTTACCCTCCGCTATGCAGGTGTGCAGTTACAGTAGTTAGCTCTTAGGTTGTCCATTATCTCCTGGTTCCTTGGTTATTTAGTTTTTAATCCCACATTACCATATTTTATATTATCCCTGGCCATCTCAAAATACTCTTCTCATATTATCCCATGTTATTTTAATCCCATATATCTCTCAGGAACCAGAGAGGTTTGGTCGCTGTCCTCGCCTGCGTTGTGGATCCAGGCTGGGTGCTTGGCTTTGATCTTGGTGACGGCAGGGAACGCCACCAAATGTAACCTGATGTTAAATATTTTCACAAGCATTAATGTTTTCTGTTTGCTGTTCTCAGGCGGGAAAGTCCTTCCTTTATTTTCACATAAGAAAGAGAGTTTCCCCTTGCTTGAAGGAGCAGCTCTTACACCATCCCCCTTTCCTTCTTAGCCGGGACACTGAAATTGCAGTTGGGTGGTAAGGGTGGCTTTTTCATTCAGAAACAGAGCAAGACTCGGCAATTAATTTCTGAGAGGGCCACGAGATGGTCACCAGGTATTCTTGGTCTCAATTTCTTTGGCAACCTGTGCCAGCCAAGCTCTGTGGCGTGTTCCCTGGCCTCAGGCAAGCTTGGGTTTGAAATCCTTTATTCTGCATGGAGAGGTCTGCTCCATCCCTCGACAAGCAAAGGAGAAGGCTGCCAGCCAGCTGCAAGACTGACACGTACGGTTTCCATTTTCATAATTCAGTCTTTTGAGCAAAACCCGTAGGAGTAAAAAGATTTCAGAAGCTGTCGTTCTACAAATCTCCATCTCGGAGGTGCTGGGAAGGGCTTGGACTCAACAAGTAGCCCCTCATTTTTCTCCCCTCTGATAATCACAAGTTCAGCATTTCAGCACAGATACAGGCCCTCGGGTGCTTAAAAGCACGTTTTGCTCTAAAACCTAGAGGTTTTGAAGACTAAAAATGTGCTTGGGTAAATAAGTACATACAGGGGAAAGCCTAAGGAGGACCCTAGCTGGGGTGGGATCAGGTACACAGAAGCATTTGGTGCAAGATACGGCAGAAGCCATCCCCTCTGCTGTCTACCCCAGCAAAGCCAGTGCTTCAGTGAGAGCAGTTTGCTACAGGATGGCTCAGCAGCAAATTGTAAGGTGTCCCAGAGCAGACATTTGCTCCGAATAGTATCTCCGAGGTGCCTCACCTTCCTGCCTTGCCCCTTGGGTGCTGCTGCTACCCCACACCTTGCTGAGAGCCAAGCCTGGAGTCCTGGAGTGAGAAAACAGATTTATGCTATCATTTTCATATTTCTGTGTACAGAAAGCGCCTTGGGCAGCGAACATCAGGCCAGTGCCCGGCTTATGGCTGCGTAATGCGGTGGTCTCCCCTTTTAAAAGGAACTGGAGCAGAAAAAGCCCAATTAGGCTCAGATCAGCTGGAGAGAAAGCAATTTTTTGTGATGAGAGCCTGTAATCACCACAGGGCTGCTTATAGGAACTGGCTAATCTGGATCGAGCAGGGTGGCGACATTCATCTCCCGCTTCGTTTCAGCATGGCCTTGAACGTCAATCCAGCCCCTGCCCGTCACAGTAATTGTCTTTTATCGCTCTCGCAGATTGCTTTTCCCCAGAGCAGAGTCCTGGTATTTTTTCATTCCCGCGGCAGGGAAACAAGGCTCAGCGACAGGGAGTGGCACTGTCTTCACTGATTTTTGCTTTTTTTTTTCACTTTAGTTCAAAACAAAGGCTTGCTAGTGGATAATCCTAGCTGAGAACCTGTACAAAACTCATCGCCGCAGCGTCCGCGGCCTGCCGGCAGCCCCCGAAGCGACGTGACGGAGCTCCCGCGCATTGGTCCGCGCAGACCCGCGCCTCCTTCCAGCTGCTGCCTCCTCCGCCTGCCGTCCTGATGGTAGCTGCGTTACAACAGCGTGCTCCAAAACAAACCAAACGCCTCTTTTCTCCAGTGTTTACAGTTCTCATCTGCTCCATGATTTTAAATTTATTCTTTGGTTTAAAAAAAAAAAAAAGAGGAGCAAAGTAACCGGCAGCAGCCTTGCTAAGCAGCTTCCCTCTGCCTCGTGCTGTCTGAAATCCCAGGCACGGAGCGAGTATTCGCTCTTGTTCTCTCGGGGTTCCCTGGCCTTGTACCCCCGTTAATATTCCTTTCTACACCTGGCGCGTGCCTTTCATCAGCTTTTGGAGATCACCAGGGAACGTGTGTGTAGGACAACGGGCAAAGGTAAAAGGGTGAAATCCTGGTAGGGGTTTCGTGTCCGTGTACCTTTATAAATTCTTTTGGGGCGTTTGGTATCAGCTAATGGCCCAGATGAACCGTGGGTCGCCATGCGTGTTCGTACATCTTTCAGATTCAGCAAAAGGGGTGACTTCAGGGGACCGACCCTCTCATCTCCCTGTTAAAAAGAAGTAAAATAACTATTTTTTCCAAAGTCATTGATAGCACGAAGCAAATGTGGGGGAGCGTGTGCCCGTAACGTTTCCCTCGGCGGCCTCGGCCGCAGCTCTGTGTGGGCAGGCGGTGGGTTTGGCTTCTCACAGCCCGGTTTTAAGCGTGGCCCTAATCACTGGGGGGAACGGGGATAACGCAGCACCTTTGCAGCTACACAGCTCATCGTATTCCAGAAGTATGTCGGGCCAGCCTACGCAATTTATTGTGACAAGCACAACAGAAATTTGGGCGTTGTCTAATCTCTGTGTGCTCGGCCCTTGTAATTCCTGCTAAATAGTCACAATTCTGTGGCTGCCAGGTTGTATCGAGAACCAAAGCTCCTGGGAAATCCTGCTGCTTTCACATGCATAAAGCTAATTTTTGAGTTGGAAGCAAATGCAATTTGTGTTGCTTCAGCCACACTTGGCACCCGTTCCCGAGCCTAGAGATGCAGCATGACCGGATCACCGGAGCGCTTGGAAAAGCAGCCGGAGGAGGTCCTAGCAGGCTGAACAGAAATGAGCGCCTTGGGAGAGGAATACATATAGTTTCCACGCAAGTTTTATACCAATGCAGCACATGAGAAAAAGCACAAACCACCTGCCCATCCCTCTGCCCATGGGCATGCTTTGAAGGATGGTGAACGCATTTAGAAATGTGAAGCTGTTACTCCTCCCATATGGTTTATTGAGGATCTCAGTTTTCAAAGCATGAGTAGCAGTGAGGCCCGTTATTCTTTCCAACATGCAAAAGGCACAAGAAAGTCATCAATGTGATTCTGTGCAAAGTGTCTCTAAGAAAACACATGGCGAGGAAACAACAGAGAAGAGCCCCCGATGGAAGGGAAAGCCAAAGTGCCTTCAGGAGAGTGCTGAGAAGTCCTGAAAATGGTCGTACTTTGATTTCAGAGTCCAGATGTGCTCAGTCGGTGAAAGATGCTTTGCAAATCCGTGAAAGAAAACTCAAGAGACAGAGCCAAAAGGCTTAAAATGATAATCTCCTTCATGTGCCAAAATTCAGGATGGAAGTAAAAATGATTTATCACAGGAAAAAAGTGCGGCAGTTAAAGACAGACATTAAATTCTTTAAAAAAAAGCCTACCAAAACCAGACGTAGAAAGTGGATACATTCTAAGAGCAGCTCAATAAAAAATATTCCTTTTAATGAAAATAATTTAAGGAATGGATACTTGAAGAACGCAAATCCGCCTTGACTGCGACCAGCTACTGCTCCGGGCTCCCGGGAAAGCCTCCGAGCGAGCACGACAGCACAACGCCTTCTCAAAGGAGAAAGTCCTCGCTACCTGCATGTGTGAAATGTGGCCGGTGAACGATTTGGAAACACAAACGGACAGGACCGAGTATCCGAGTCCCGTTATTGAACTTGGGCGTCGGGAAACTTCCCGGGGTTCCCGTCTCTCCCGCTGGAGCCGGCGGGGGCATCGCTTCCCGGCAGGCAGGGCCGAGCCCGTGAACCCCTGAGCCTCTCGCTGGAGTTGAATACTTAAACCTAGAAAAGGCATTTACAAGTTGACGCAAATTTTGTTGTTGTTGTTGTCTTATTTCCTTGCAGTATACGTTTCTACTTCTAGACTATGGAATGTTACATTAAACAATATAATTATTCATTACCTTGCTTCAAATTTCATTACAGTTACTGAGGCTTCATCATAATTTCACACGGCACAGAGACACCAAACTAAACACCAAGCAGCCAGCACTAGATGTATTTTTTCTTTAAGTACCAATAAGCAAAATATCCCATTCCCCCCAGAGATCCCATCAGGAAGGAGGCTCCGAAGAAGGAGGGAGGTTTCCGCTTGACCAGCCTGAAGGCATTGGGTACCACTGCGGAGAGGAGCGTGGTATGTATATCTCCCAAAACTTTCCTGAAGGCGAAGCGTTTTTGTATCCTGTCGAAGAAGGACTGTAGGTTAGGTCTGCTGCCGTCCTCCCAGTATTTCTTAGAGAGTCCCAGAAACTTGAGGCGGTGCAGGGTAGCTCCTAACAAGACATCGGCCAGAGTAAAGACGCAGCCACAGAGCCAAAGTTCGCACTTCTGGCCTGAAGAGAGAAGCGACAGAGCAGGTAGGATGAGAAGAAACCCTGGAGGGCACCTAAAGGCTTGCTCAAGAGATCCATGAAGGCAGGGGCATTTGCATTAGACCCGGGGTGTTTTTTCTCCGCTCCCCGGTATCCCAAGAGTCCAGACCCCGTTTACCAGGCTACGTGATGGAGGGGCCACAAAGCTGGGAATACAAGGTGATCGTTTATAGCCCGCGTGAAGATACAAATCGCTGTCTGCAAAACGGCTGTTGCCTCTCTCCCAAGTCAAGAGCGGCAGCAGACGGCCTCCTCCCGTACCCAGGAGGTCCCTGGAAAAGGGCCCTTGGCCCCCGTGAAGGAAGACATGGCGCAGTGACCCCTTCTGCTGTGTTAGTGCTCGGGGAGAGCAGCAGCGTTTGTCCTTGGCCGTACCGGGAGCTGTTTCAGGAGTGTCATGTTAACATGTCCTATTTTAGGGATCTAAGAAATCCTCAGGAATCAAAACCATTTGCTGGTCCGGCCTGGCTGCTCTCCCTGGGTGCTGGCGGGGAGGTTCTGCCTCTGTCTCCTCTCCTGCAGCAGGGACCCAGCTCTGGGACACCAACACTGGCAGCACATCCCTGCCGAGAGCCGGGTTTGGGGGAAGGCAGAGCTTGGTGCGAATGCTGGGCATCATGAGAGGCACCAAAGCACTGATGGCCCCTGACAAGGGCCGACCCTGGAAATAACCTCACCAGAGAGATGGCCAGGAATAAACCAAGCTGTTGTTGGGCTGGAAGAAGCGGGCTCAGGCCAGGATAGCATCGAACCCTCCCCCGCTGCCCTTTCAGTGCTGAGGAGCAGGGCTGGGATGGAGCTGGGGCAGATGAAGGGAGGTGCAGGTAAGGAAGAGCAGCAGAAGGGGCACAAAACCCGGCCCCATCCAGCCTGAGCCCCCGGCTTTGCACCAGATCCTTAATTTTAGGGCTCTTCCACTGTCCTGTGGCTGTTGTATCTGGGAGGGAGCGAGCGGCACCTTTATTGCACCCGGTGCAGGCACTGGTGCTGCTGGGCTGCCTGCAGGGCCAGGCCAGGGGAATTACTGGTAATTAGCAGCCCTCATTTGTAGCCGCTTGGCAGCCTGCCTAATCCTGCCAGAGGCACAGCCCAAGTGGACAGATTGCCTGTGCCTAATTAGTTAATAAATGTTTTTAGTGACTAATGAATTGTGGGGGTGCTGCAGCCGGAGCCTCCTGGGTGCTCCGGGGACCCTGGGGATGCTCCGGCTCGGAGATAAGGGAAGCGGGGCTGAGGTGCTGCCTCTCTCCCGGGCACTGCTGTGGGCAAAGGAGCGAGCGCACGTGAGGATGGCGACTTCGGGAGAGAGCTGTCATCCGGCCCTACCCCCCGGCTCTGGGCTCGCACCCGCTGCTGAGGTCTGGACCCGGCCGTGGGGTGCCCCAGGGCAGAAGCACGGGTAAGGGCAACTCGTCCCCTCTGCATCCCCAGTGGCCCCAGCTCGGGTCAGCCTGTCCCAGCCGAGCAGGGTGCCTGTGGCAGGGGGTCACCCTGTGCTCCTGCAGCATCTCCCACCCCACTCCTGCCTGCCCTGCCCTGCCTGCATCGCTGCGCGCTGGGCCGGCAGCCTGGGCTGCGTGGGAGGAGAGCTGCTGCACTGCGGTTCCTGGGAAGTTGCCAAAGGGCTGGCGCTTGTGCCCGCTGGCTGTCGAGATCCTGACCTGGCCGTGGGCACGGCAGGGGGGTTTGGGGGCCCGGAGCAGAAGGCAGGAGCAGCATGCAAGGACCGAAGGCAGCAGCAGCCGCCCCTCTGCTCCAGGCACCCAGGGCGTCCGCCGAGGGCACCTCATTAGGTTGAATTCTGATGAGCTATCCCAGCTCTCAGAGCAGTTAATGAGGGTGTTCATTGGAGGCAATTAGGGCAATGCAGGGTGCTGCTGTGAACACATCAGGGCTCACAGCAAATCCCCAACCCGACGCCTTGCAGAGCCTGACCTTGGCACCTCCAAAGGCCCTTCGGTGCGGCCCCGAGCGTGACGCATGGCTCCCCACGGCCGAGGCCAGCCCCGAGGGCAGGGCCAGCTGTGGGGCTGTCCCCTGATTCACTGCGTCCGGGCTCTGCTCTGGACCTGGCACCGTGGCGCTGGCAGCGGGGATGAAAGGATGACGGCGTCATCCTGGGGTGATGGCAGGACAAGCGATGCCCAGCTGTGCCCATGCATCCCTGTCTGCCAGGGCGCTGGGCTGGCTCTCGGCAGGGACCCAGCAGCATGCATTTGATGTTGGGGGTGGCCGGGTGTCCTCTTTCTCTC